TCCTGTACCTATTGGGTAGATCTGATTTTTTTTTTTTTGTTATTCTAGTTGGTCCATGGGTTTCCTAGGTGGTTGGGGTCAACTAAAACACACAAATTTCAGACCCCCAACATACATATTATTAACAGATTTTTGATCTGAAACTATGTCATTTATTCTGTGGTTTATAAGCACTATTTATGAAGAAACGGAAAGAGGTGTAAAAAAAAAAACTTCTTAAAATCAAAGATCTGGTTAAAATACTTTAGGGTAATGTTCTTTTACAATTCCTAGTTTTTAAGTTTGTTAATGTTTACCATATAATAAACAACACAGTAATTTGTATAATTTTTAGAATAAGTAAATCTCATCGGTTAGAAAATGTCAGTTCAGCTTACTAGTACTGGAATACATATTTTTGTCTAAAATTAGTTGAGTAATATAAAGTTTTAACAGGCCCTGATTTACACAAGAGGCTCAATTTTTTACCCTAAACTGTAAAAATATTTGACACCATATATTCTCTTTTGATACTTATTTCTTGAAAAACGTTATTATTTATATTTTAAAATATATATTGAAAGACAAAAATTATATATTGTAAAACAAAACTGTTAAGAAATATATTTCATAAAAATAGAAGGCCCTAACAGTTGTGGCTGCAGTTAGGAAATGGGACTCTCACAGGGGCTGTTCTTCTTTCACCAAGATAATGACAATATTTATACATTTTAATTATACAATAAAGTTGAAAAAAAAATCCTGTACCAAAGCATTAAGCTATAAGTGTACAGTGTCACTAAGCATTAATAGTAATACAAAAAGACGTTGATTTTCATATCTCGTAATTTCTAAATTTACGTAACACATCACCTGGCGGTTCACTCTTCCATACTGAATGTTCCTCCGCTGGTCTTGACAGAGTACTTGGTGAATCGTCTGGTCTATTCGAGCTACCTCCTCCAATCAACATGGGTTCCTTTCGTTTCTTTGTGACCCAGTGCATAGAAGAGTGTGCACTTTTCCCTAAATTCATCCATTGTTCAAATGGCATGGCTATACAGCCTCTACGCCATTTGTCGTACAATTTTCTCATTTCTGGATCCATCAATATATCCTTGGCTCTCTGCAGCTTCTGAAACTGTTGAACTGCAGTTGAATCGGGATTTTTATCTGGATGAAGACCGACAGCTCTGTATCTGTATTCTGCTAAAATCTGTTCTGTCGATGATAATTCGTCACAACCAAGAATAAAATAAAAATCGTCATCTTCCTTACGTTCGAACTGTAAGATCGCATCCATTAAAATATGCTCGAATTTAATTTTGTTAATCAGGCAAAACTTTACCCTGCTTTTGAGGCGATAGGTATAATAATATTGATATTTGTCTAAACGGTTAACGACGCAGACGTAAGTGTTCGAGAGGTATCACTCGGGGGAATGGTAGTCTCTTCACCATATCAATCTATTTTCCTTCAAACACTCGAGGCTTCAAGTAAACACTACACCGAGAGTTGGTCCACGTGACTGTAAAAGCTCGAGATTACACGGAGAAGCATCCAAAACGCCTACTTTGCTGCACGAGCGCCATCTGTTAAATATTACCGAAGCAAAATGTATAGTTTTTATTAATTATTTGTGTTTGTGTGTGTTACAGTGTGTTTACACTGTTGTCTTGTATTTTGATATATACTTATTTAATTATATTAATCATGTGGAATATTTTAAGGGGAAAACCAAGAGCAGATTTTCTTAATAAGTTCTATAAACTAATAAAAGTTAAAACCCCTTTTCAGTGTTTCATGGTTAGTAGCCGTCCAAAATTCTTATTTAATCTTTGTTATTGTAAAGGTTTTATTTTAACATCTTATCGAAAACTATACAAAGAAAGAATATTATTGACAATTCTTTGAAATATATATGCTTTGTTAAATATAACATATATAATTCAGTCAGAACAACTAACGTCTAGAAAACATTTTTCTAAGTCATTCTTTTGAAACTCATGGAAAATTCATAACAGAGTTTATGATAATACTTTTAGCTACTATAAAACCAGCAAAATAAGTTGGGCTCTTCCTTTTAATTAACATAGTTTTACTTTACATCCCCCCCTATCAGTTCTTCGTATGTATGCACATATTATATTTTAATATGCGTCGCCGTTCGTTTCATGAGATTTATTTTTCAAGCGTATCAATTCCTTTCGTTATCATTCGATTTTAGAGAAATAAGACACTTTATCGTTATCTGCACAACGTGAAAGCTTTGATGTCATTCCTTATTTAATACTGAAACACTGCTTTGTATTAATTGGACTACCTGGAGTTTGTGGTGTTCACGCACAATATAAGAGAAAAGTTCTCATTATGTTCAATAGATGGCGCTTTAACATTTGGCTTATATTTAAATAACTAAGAGCGCTCGAGTTTGTATTTTATTCGTCTTTTCATGCTAATTTTTATTCCATAGCAAGGTTGAGTGTTTTACCATGTGGTTAGTAGCACTAAATTTAAATGCAGAAAAGTTAACGTGGTAAATTTTGATTGTTACGTATGGCTATTATTACATGAAATACGAGGTCACAGTATTTCTAAAATCTTTTAGCTGAAATAACTATGGTTTTATACAAGAAACATTTTGAAAATACACCAGCTATCTGCTAAAGAAGCATGAAAATAATACTTGCAACAGTTCTGTAAAAGTAGAGCAAGTTTCAAGATACTTTTTTAGGCCCGACTACGTACTAATAAATTAGTTCTTTTTTGTTTTCATAGGATTTTGTTAGCCCGTTTCTAATTAATGTCGAGTTTTAGCGTTACAAGTCCTCGGGTTTATAAAATCTAGCATACTGGTCACATTAATTATTCTCCCGTCAAAACAACATTTTAATTAATTATAGGAAAAGCTTGTTTATCTTTTTTTTTTTTTTGTCAGATAAACTACAAAGTAAAAATACTTGATTTTCTTTGAAGAAGTCGTTTGATCCTTTGTTGCATAGTATTATCTCTAGGCACAACTCACTTTCAGAAAAAACAGCGTTTATTCAAATATTCAAGTTCTACATTAATGCTATTTTTAATTAATTAAAAACAGTTAATTAACTGACACCTCTAGCTGAAACGTGGCGTAAACACCTGTAGTTACACCAAGACGTTGTCACTTATCTTTCAATGCAAGTGCAGTATGATTTTATTCGAACGAAATAAAATACTATAGGACAAAAGTTATTTTGAAAATTTAATCACACAATACCAATGTAACTAATGAAAGGGAGGCACTGCTTAAATTTTAGACATCTTTAAACATCAAAGGATTTTAAAATACTTGTATTCAAGCAACATTTATTTTTACTCGTTTAATAATACGCATTTTGGATTATATTATATTTACAAATTTATACAACTCTGAACAATGATTATTGGTAATTAATTTAAAATTAAAACTCAAAAGATAATGTATAAATAAATAAACTATATAGGTGAAAACTTCCCAGGGCATCCGACATATAGCGCATGGTTTCTATTTAAATAAATTCAATATTTATAATTTCGTGAGGCAACTGAAAATAGTTTTACAAAAATAAAAATTAAGCCTTTTTGCACACTACCCTCACCTTAAGATAAAATTATAAAACAAAAACGTTGTCCCTTAACGTATAAGAAAACAAAGCCGGATAACAAAAGTCACAAGAATTAGGCCAAACATTTCTCATCATAACGTGTAAGAAAACAAAACTTACAAGAATTAGGCTAAACACTTCTCATCATAACGTGTAAGAAAACAAAACTTACAAGAATTAGGCTAAACACTTCTCATCATAACGTGTATGAAAACAAAACTTACAAGAATTAGGCTAAACACTTCTCATCATAACGTGTATGAAAACAAAACTTACAAGAATTAGGCTAAACACTTCTCATCATAACATGTAAGAAAACAAAGCCAGATCACAAAACTTACAAGAATTAGGCCAAACACTTGTAATCACGTGATCATGAGGTATATTTTCTCAAGATGTCTCTATTTTGAAGAGGGGGGAAATGTTCTTAATTCGTCATAAAATCAAGTCGGGAATATTTATATTATCAAGAAAGTTCTATGATTTTTTGCTCACTAATAGATGGCATGACATAAAAATCATAAAACGATGAAAATATTTCAAAAAGTTTAGCCCTATAATTTGTACTAACGGCAAAATATTAGAGTATACAAACAAAAGTATAAAACACTCGTAGTCTCTTCTTTTCTACTAAACAATTCTTTTAATTATAAAAAAAAACTCGTCTTCAATACAGTTAAAAGTTTGTTATTTAATCATGTCCTTAAAAGAGGTTTTATTAGTGGGTAAACTGAGGTGAAGATTTATTTTTTTTTTCTGTAGACAAAATTTATTCTCGAACCAGCATCGTACATAGAGCAAATAATCTCTTCAGTTTCCAAGGCCATAATACAATTTATTTTCAATTTAATTGAGAAAATAAAATAACGCAAAGCTGATAATAAACAACAAATAAAAAAAAATAATTATTAAACGCATTCAGCTTATTTTTCTTAATTATTATGAAGTTCGGTTCATTTTGCGGGAAGTCTTGAAATTAAGTTCGCTTCCAACTATTACAACTCGCTCAAGTATTTAATTTTAAATTTGATCACAGGTACGTAGGTGACTGTTCTTATCCTGTAATACTTCAGCGCAAAAAAGTTGACAGTAACAATTGGGATTTTCAAATGTTTCAATCTTGGTTTAATTAAATTTGTAGATACATTTTACAACTTAATCCAATCATAAAGATTATAACAAATACTTATTTCATCTTTAAAATTTCCCTGTAAAGGTTTTTTTTAAATGATAAATCATTCCAAACTTAGGTCAAACCAATATCTTACATCCTGTCTCTTACGCATACAACAAAAAATTTCGCAAAACTTAATTAACATTTCATCAATTTTCAATATCATAACTTTTATCAGGAATTATCGTCTGCACCTACACACTTGCCCTCTATCGGTAAGCTTCTGAATCTCCGTTTCTTTCTGTCGCTCAACGGCTACAGTGATTCCTTGGAGTATTTTCTCCCGTGAAAATTACTTTGAATATTAAAAATGATAAATTCGGAAACGAATTTGCACAGGAGATAAAAAAAAAGAAGATTATAGTTTCTCACATACTACGTTTTCAACATATTTCTTCGTGGTAAACATGTTTTAACTAGCTTAGTTTTACGTTTTTGCGAGAACCAAAAATCGTCAGGAAATTATATTACGTTTCGTATATTTATCATAAAGTCTGCAGTAGGATTACACTACTGATAAGCTAGTTTCTCCAAAACGACCCACATCTGGACTTGCGATAACTAGAGTTACACATTTTTATAGACGTGTCTCTGCTCTCATTAATAACAAACGAAGGAAAGACAATTGTATATGTGTTTAATTTTTAGGTTAAAACCCTCTAATCACTGAAGGCCCATTATTCTGTAATGAGTAATGTACTTACTAACGTGGTACTGGTAGTCATGTTACCACGGTACTTTCACGTAAAAATCTCTCTCTTCTAGACATCATTACGTACAAATATGATATTAAGTACGCCATTCTGTATAATCAAAGACAATGTTAACTATCAAATGTCTTGTCTTATGAAGCCTTGGAAAATTGAAATAAGGGCTAACCTACTGACTACTTAAGACTAACTAACACCTAGTGGTAAAAAATTATCTTACAGAGAATGCAATTATGCGGAATGTCAAAAACAACTTTTCTGCGCGGATGATCAAAATTTTGTTTATTTTTGAAATCTCAAAAACCTGCAATTCAACTGGCTTGTAACCCGTCACGTAATAAGACTTGGCACGTAATGTTTTTTTTTTTTTGTTATAATTATAAAATATGTTTCACCCGAGAGTTCTCATCTGACCTATGGGGTATTGAAACAATGTAATAATTCCTTGTTATATATAGGTAATTATCAGTCTTGAAGTGTGATATTAGATATAAGATTCTTGAATATATATATATAAATGTTTCACCTGAGGTACAATACAGTTCCACGCACATACAAAGTTAACTAAGCCTAATTTTAGAACTCTAGAAATAGGCCTAACATGGAGGGTGGTAAGAGTATAATCTGCAAAATAAAATTAACTAATAAAACTATATTAAAAGAGATGTTGTGTATAATATTTAAAATATAAAATCCCCTTGGCACAGTCAGTGATAGAACACGAGGGTTTAGACAAATCCCATCATGCACCACTGCGAGTTGCTTTTGCGAATCGCCATTTGCAGAAACATTGAAGTAGATATAATAAATATTCTAAAAAAGAAAAAGAGGTTTTTGCAAACGTAGAGACGAATAATCGTAATTTTTGTACAGTAACAGGCAGGTGAATTAACAGAATAACTCGAGTTTCAGTATATTAAATGTAAATAATAATAATACTTTTAAGAGTTTTTAATTTACGTAATAGTGACTGGAACATAGTACATATTATTACTTGTAATAATAACGATACAATTATCGACTGTAATAGTAGCTTTTGTGTCTTTTTAACATAATGTCACTAAAATCTTAAACTTTATTTAATAGACCTGTTTTGTAGCCAAAAGCATATAATCATACTTACTATGTTTCTCTGGTGCATGTATTCTTAACGGACACGTGTATAGTGTAAAATTTCAAAAGCATGCACGCGAGAGCCCCTAAATTCGGTACACCATACAGATATAAAAAGGTCACTTCACTTGAACACACATAAATGCAATGACATTTAACAATAGCTAAAAGGGCACGTATATTTTAATGAACATGGCTAACAAACAGGGTTTAATTTCGCGGATTTTTCACGATTTTCAATCGCAGGAACGCGGAGACATTCCTACAGTCCCATCATGTAGACTGGCTCAAAGCCCGTAGCCTCAGCTTCTCCCTAAAATGAGTGAAAAAAAAAAGATAATTAGAATACAGATCTAGAAACGCCTCCCATACTCAAACTTTTATATGTAAAACGCCCTCTGGTGGATAAAATATTAATTATGTGTAAGTAGTGCCCTCTTTTGCATTAGATGTTGTGCAATTAAATTAAAACATAATTTAATAAGTAGCCAACTTTAAATAGATGTACGTTCAGTCACGTGTCAGTTTGTATTAACTGGTGAATAAAACGAATTCGCCCTTGGATATAATAAAATTAATGTGTTGATATTGTTATCGTTGGTTTGTTTTAAGCGCAAAGATAACCAATGGGCTATCTGCACTGTGCCCACCAGGTTTTTAGCGTTGTAAGCCTTCAGGCTTGCCGCCGAGCCACTGGGGACGTAATATTCTTACGAAATGGGTCTCACAAATTAACAATTCTTCATTTCCCCAACATGCAAACATAATTTTGCTTAAATCTAAATTTACCGTTTTTTTCCTTCAGCCTCTACTACGAAGAAAAACAAATGATAGGATTCAGAAATAAAAGACAACAAAAATTGCGTTAAAGCGTATAATAAAAAATGGGTACAAACCTTATCATTTGGATTATCGGACGACCACCCTTGCATAACGCCTCCTACAATTTATCAAAATAAAAAATCACGTGTGTTGAATTTTCAAATAAACACTTTGTACAAACTAAACGTGGGCCATCTAACAGCTTTTCACGAATGAACAGTGATAATTATAATATAAATAACTCGTTGTCAGAAATAAAAAAGTAATTTCTGGAAGTTAAGTAACGTCTAAAACTGAAAATAATTATATTTGTTTTGTTTTTTAAGATTACTAAAATATTCTGAGCTTTATACTTATCAACAGATGGCGCGACACAATCAAATAAAACAAATTTTCAAATTACATATTTCAGATATTATTGCCGATATCTTTCATAACTTTTTTAAATAATTTGTTTTTGTTTTATAACAAACTTGAAGTTTAATATCAATTTATCGCTGAAAATATATATATATATATATTTAACATATTATACAATATATATACAGTTTTGTTGAGCAAAAAACAAAACTTAAAGTCTACCAACGTATTTCTGTTAATTTATTATTTGCTATTTTTTTCTTGTCTAAAATTACTTCAGTAGTCCCTAAATAATTGTCTCTTTTACGCATGCGTTACCGTAACAAACCAACTACTCAAAAGCTTCACAACAAAATGTTGTTTTTTATTTTTTTAACTGAAATCTTATTTGTTTGTTTCTTAAGCCTAAAAAAGAAAAAATCACAGTTTTCAAGCATTAAATATGTTTACATTTGAAATAACGTTTCGTAAAACCAGTATTTATTTTTTAATGGTTCAGGAAAAGACCAAACTTAAAATGCGAACGATTTTTCTTTTGTATAAAATATCTCTACAATTTAGTGGTGTTATAATGAAGACTTTAAATCCTATGATACATACAATATCATACATTAATTTACATTTAATGACAAACCCAGTTTTACGATATCAAACAACTATATTTAGAACTCTAAAGTAGCCTAATAATAATTGACCAAGGTTACCCTTATTTTTACTGTTCTTTTGTATACTTCAAGTATAACTTTTATAATTAAACTCACCGTTCGTGTTCAAGGCGGTCATTTCCTTTGAGTCGTCAGCCTCGGGATTACTCAGTATTTGATCGCGTTTCTTTCTGTATTATATAAATTAAAAAAAAAAAAACAAGATGAAACGTCACTATCAATTTAGCCAATATTCGATTTCAAAAATTGGGGGGGGGGGGACATTGTCTTTTAATGTTTACGATTATTTTCATCCAGCTAGTGAGTTAAAAGTAAGTTAATCAAGTAAACATCAAACCATTATTTATGCATATCGTTACTGTTTATTATTAAGCACAGAGCTACACAAAGAGCTATCTGTGCTCTGCTCACCACGGGTATCGAAACCCGGTTCCTAGCAGTATGTGTCCGCAGACATGCCACTGTGCTACTAGGGGGCATTAATTATGAATTTTTGGATATGATTTATATTTAATACCTCTACGTTTTCGGAGCATAACTTGAGATTTCAGATATATTTTAACATCTAAAAATGCCGTAATTTGATGTTTTGTTGATTTTAACTGAAAGCTGCACAATGTACTATCTTATTTCTGTATACCGCGAAGAGAATCGAACCCAGGAATTTTTTAGTGTTGAAAGTCCGTAAACGTACCACCGTCCGCCAGGTGGGCCATTCATTCTGAAACAAAGTACGTAAGAAATATCCAACGTTACGTTTTTTTATATTCTTCAGTTAAATATTAATTAGTTTCGTGTTACGTCAAAGCCCACTAGGGGGCGCAATTACCGGTGTTTCGTCGGGTGATCATATCTCGCGAGTTCGATTATTATGTATGTTTGTTTGTAGTTAAGCACAAAGCTACACAATGGGTTATCTGTGCTCTGCCCACCACGAGTATCGAAGCCCGGTTTCTAGCTATTATTATGAAAACATGAATAGCTTTTAATGCAGTGGCTTAGCTGGCTGAACTTCGCAATAATAATAATAATAAAACTTTCTTTTTTACAACACAAATAAACAAACAGTACCCCTGGGGATATTTTCAGTTAGGCTTACTTAAAAGATGCAGTATCGTGAATTATGTGTTTTTCATATATTTCGTTTGGCAAGTGCGACGAATATTTAAAAAAAAAAGTAATGAAAAACTGACAGTAATGTTTGTTATCTATCGTCCAACGTTAGGTTATATTTATGTGATGTGGTAAATAAACAACAATGACTAACTTAAGTCAAGAAAAATATATGTTGAGGAAAATTCGTTCAAACGAATTAAATTAGAAGCATTTGTTTGGGATATGCTTACGTTTTTGTTTCCATTTTTAAAATCCATACTCCTGTCAGTTTTAAGAGTACAAAAAAGGAGAGAGGGAGAGAGAAAAAAAGTAATCGTTCTCAAAACTTTAAACTCTGAAAGAGCGGCTTATAACATGAAAGTGCCGTTACATTTAGTGTTAACGGTTCTTACCAAGTTGGCTAGTTCCACAGAGATTTATTGATTTATCTGGTAATTTAGTTCGTCTATCTTCTCTTTTATTGATGCTAGCTAAAAGGGGGCTTTTAAACGTTAACGTAACAAGAAAAACAAAAAAACACTTACCTCCATTTGAAGAGATGGAAAATCCCGCAAGCTAAAGCAAACAGTACCAGGACAGCCGCCAACACGCTAAGGACTATGGGAAGAATACTTCCTTCCCCAAAACGGAGGCTCATGGGATCTGTTTGTTCCACCGGATCTATACTCGAAATTATTGAAATGTAACGATTGTAATAACGATAAAATATACTGATTAAACTTAAAGACTTTTTTTTTATGAACCATGGAAATAATATATAATCAAAACAACTACACTGTTAAGATACGAAACTAAATACTCATAACACGGGCCTGCATTTAACATTTATTTAACATATAACATTTATTTCCATTGTAAACATTTCTTGCGCATAGTTTAATACATTTTAAATATATTGTTACGATAGCGAAAGTCGCGTGACGCTGGGAGCATGCGCGCTGGAGTTTCTGGAAGGATCATGAATTATCGGGGTGGCCCGAGTTTGTTCGAGGCGCCCTCTTTTTTAGTATATAAGCCTGGCGAGAAAAACCAGCGTAATTGCAGAGATGGATAGATATGGAGACAGATAATTGAGTCAAACGAACGGTAGTCACGG